TCTTCACAGCTGTGGGTATGGTCTTGGTAGATGTAACATAATTTGACTGGTCCCCTATGGATAGTATTTGGGTTGTTTCCAGTTTTTTGATATTACAAATAGGGCTGAAATGAATAGCCTTATGCATGTATCTTTCCTTATTTTTACCAGTGTATCTGTGAGATGGATTCTGAGACATGGGATTGCTGGGTTAAAGGTTAAATTTATATTTCATTTTGTGTGGCAGCTATTTTTTTAAAAATATGTTTTTATTTATTTATTTTTTAGAGAGATAGGAAGGGAGATAAAGATAGAAACATCAATGTGAGAGAGACATAGATTGTCTGCCTCCTATGTGCCCCCTACTGGGGATCGAGCCTGACACCCAAGCATGTGCCCTGACCAGGAGTGGAACCAGGACCTCTCCATCCATGGGGCGAGCTCAATCCACTGAGCCACACCTAGTCATCTGAAATCTCATCTGGTTGGGCTGTGTGGCAGCTATATATATATATTTTTTTTTTAATCCTCACCCGAGGGCATTTTTCCATTTTTTGTTCAGGTATAGTGGGGGGGTGGGGGGAGAGGAACAGAGAGAGAGAGAGAGGGAAACATCGATGTGAAAGGGAAACATCGATGTGAAAGGGACACATCAAGTGGCTGCCACCCCCACGACCAACCAGGGCCGGGGACAAACTGCAACCGAGGTACGTGCCCTTAGCGGGAACCGAACCCGGGTCTCCCAGGACCTCAGGCCGACGCTCTAACCCCTGAGCCAAACCAGCCAGGGCTGGCAGCTATTTTTTAAGCCACTTTAAAAATATTTTTTTAGCAACATTGTCAAGGAATCAGTGTTATGATCTTTGCAAATTTCTCTGACATTGTTAAGATTTTGTTTCTTTTTATTTTGAAATTGTTTTTTCTGTAAATATGAAACTATGACTGCATGAATGTGTAGTCAGGAGCATTACCTCCGTCTGGGAACTGAGTTGCTGTAGTTCTGTACTGACCAGTAGGTGCCGCTGTTGAATAAGAGTGCTGGTAGGAAGTTTGCTGGAGTGGGCTGTTTCTCCAGCTACACCGTTTAGACTACCCTTTGCCTCTTCCTAAAGGGGGGGTGGCACAGAGGGAAGTTCCAAGGGGGAGTTCTCACTTAAAGGGGGAACTCCACAAATGAAGAAGAAAGCTAGCTCTTTTTGGTGTAAACTCCTCTTTGAGATTCCATGAAAATGATTGGTGTAATTATTTCTCTATGTTGCTCTTAGGCACCCTACTCCCATTTCCATCAACATTGCCCCACCTCGCCCTGGCCGGTTTGGCTCAAGCGGTTAGAGCGTCGGCCTGCGGTCCAGAGAGACCCGGGTTCGGTTCCCGCTAAGGGCACATACCTCGGTTGCAGTTTGTCCCCGGCCCTGGTTGATCGTGCGGGTGGTAGCCACTCGATGTGTCCCTTCCACGTTGATGTTTCTCTCTCTCTCTCTCTCTCTCTCTCTCTCTCCTCTCTCTCCCTCCCACTCTACCTGAACAAAAAATGGAAAAGTGTCCTCGAATGAGGATAAAAAAATAAAATATAAAAATAAAAAAAAAACATTGCCTCACCCCTCCATCCCCACCCCCTTGCCCACCTGTGCCCCCTCTGCTTCCCTTAGCAGTTTATAACCCATCTACCTTATTGTTTCTTTTTTTTGTTCTTACAAAAGGTGGTTTGACTTAAACACAAAACCCAGATGAGATTTCAGATGACTAGGTGTGTAAAGCCTGTGAGTTGGGTCCTGGGGTTACTTCTCCCAGTCTACTACCATGAAGAGGTACAGAGAGGGGCTGAGACAGTCAGGATCTGTCTGCCGGATCCAAGGACCTCAGCCTCACTGGTAATTACCTCATTTGCACTTGGTTCTTCCTTCCGTGGAGTATTTAATGGACTTGGCGCTTGGGACCAATGCTGTTTGTGTTACTTCGCTGGCTTCCCCTGACAACTGCTGTCTCCCTCTTCACCCTTGGTACAGACTTGGCTCTCTGACGTCCCTTTGCTTGTTTCCTGGGTCAGGGTTTCTCCACAGGTGTTACTGGCATTTTGAGTGAGATACATTTTTCCTTATGGGCTTGTTTATGGCAGAGTGTTAAAAGTTCTTGGTCCCTTCCTACCAATGGCAGGTGCATTCCCCTGTTACTGTGCAACCTAAAAACAGCCACCTGTACTTCCAGATGTTCCCTGGGAAATACTGCTCTGACAAGTCCCATCAGGCCCTGGGGGCTCTGTGCGCTCCTATGCAGTAACTCCCCACTTTCCATCTCCAACATCCATGTTCTCTAGAGCTTCAGACTCATTCTCGGCCACCTGCCTGTCACCTTTGCTTGTCTGTTTACTAATGTCTCGGCCTGCAGACGTTTAAGTGAGAACTCCCCCATCCCAGCCCAGCAGTGGTGCCACCAGAGTCATGGTCTGGACCCTCTTGTTTGCACTCACCTAGCACGGGAACTTCGTCAGCAAGCCCTGCCCCTCTGCCTGTGGGGGAGAGCCCAGCCTCTCCATTCCTGCCACTGTCACAGCTGCCTCTCTGGCTTAAGTATAGTCTTCCCTTTGGGACTGTTGAAGTAACAGCTTTTAAAACTACTTAATGGCTTGGAATATAACCAACGAAGAGAAGAACAAGGAAGGACGCGTTCAGCTCAGGGAGTTCTCAGAGAGAGCGATGCCAGCCAGGGGAAGCAAGAGGGCTGCCAGCCCTCTAGAACCCCAGGGTGTGGGCTCCCCGCCCCCAGGCAGCTCTTCCTCACAGGAGAGTCTCCTTGTTCAGCTTTGCTTTTCCACAAAGCATGCATTCCCTCTCTTTCTAAATCTTCACCTGAGGATATACTTACTGATTTGAGAGAGAGAGAAACAGCAATGTGAGAGAGAACATCAGTTGGTTGCCTTCTATATGTGCCCCGACCAGAAATTGAACCTGCAACCTTTCAGTATATGGGACGGTGCTCCAACTAACTGAGCCACACTGGCCAGGGCCAAAGCATGTATTTTGGTGTGTTTTTTTTTGAGGCGGGGGTGGGGTGGGGGGTGGGGTTAAACCTCACCTGAGGATATTTTTCTATTGATTTTTTTTTTTTTCCAGTTAGAGTGGGAGGGGAGGGGGAAGAGGAGAAAGAGAGAGACACATTGATTGGTTGCCTCCGGGACAACCCCAACCATGGCTGGGGATCGAACCTGAGACCCTTAGGTCCTTGGACCAAGGCTCTAACCACTGAGCAAACCAGCCAGGGCCAAAGCATCTATTCTTAATCTCTGTAGTTCAGCTTTGCCTGCTATTGACGTATGTAATCTCTATGTAAATGTAGTTATGTGTTCTATGTGTGTATATTCTATATTGTGTATGTATGTGTATATATACAGTGTGTTATGTAGTGTTTAGGTTTGTGTTCTTTTGCACAACGTGTAATGTGTGTAGCTGTACATCATTTTTCTTTCACTTTTGTTCCATTGTATGAATATACCACAGTTTATTGGTCTCTTCTATTGATAAGATATTTGGGTTGTTTCCGGGTTTTTTTTGCCCATTATGAATAATGCTGCTGTAAATATAGAGTATATATACAATGGAATATTATTCAGCCATAAGAAAGGAAGGAAATCTTGCCATTGGCTCCAACATGAATGGAGCTTGAAGAGCATTCTGCTAAGTGTAATAAGTCAGACAGAGAAAAACAAATTCTATGTGATCTAATTTATATGTGGAATCCTAAAAAAAACAAAACCAAACTCATAGATACAGAGAACAGATTGATGGTTGCTATAGGTGGGGGAGGGCAGACGAAATGGGTGAAGGGGGTCAAAAGGTACAAACTTGCAGATATAAACTAAATCTTGGGTGTAATGTAGGGCATGGTGACTATAGTTAATAATACTGTGCTGCATCTTTGAAAGTTGCTGGGAGAGTAGATTTAAAAAAAGAATTTGTAACTGTATGTGTTGATGGATGTTAACCAGAGTTATTTGTAGTTAACCATTTTGCAGTATATACAAATATTGACTCATTCTGTTGTATACCTGAAACTAATATCCTGTTATGTTTTTTGTATCTCAATTGAAAAAACAAAAAGGATCTCACCATCAAGTGTCCTCTCCCCAGCAAGGCATGTCTTGTCCACCTCGATACAGCTGTCATTGTATCACGTTTTCACTGTACTCATCAATATCTGAAACTCATTTTATTTATGTTTCCTTGTTCATTACCCATCTTTCTTCACTAGAATGGAAGCTCATTGAAGGTGGGGACCTTGTTTGTATCATTCACCACTATATCTCCTCGGCCTAGAATAAAACTTGGGAGAGTAAAAGCATAATTAATTGATTATTTGTTGATTGATATTTAATTAGTAGTTGGCCAATTCTAGTTGTATTGGTCACGTAGGGTCACTTAAACCCTTGCCCCTTGGCTTTGTATAGCTCCTCAAAGCTTCAGATGTGAACAAGAAGCAAGTGTAAAGAGAAGAAATATCACCTGGAATTGAATGCTTTTGTGATTAAAATTAACTGTGTCCTTTTATTTATTAAAAAAAATTTTTTTCTTTATTGATTTTGAGAGAGAGAGGAAGGGAGAGAGAGAAACATTGATGAGAGAGAACATCGATTGGCCGCCTGCAGCATGACCCCTACTGGGGATTTGGCCCACAACCTGGGCATGTGCCCTGACCGGGAATCGAACTGGCGACCTCTTGGTGCATGGGTCGATGCTCAACCACTGAGCCACACCGGCCGGACAACTGTGTACTTTTAAATACATAAAATTGTATAGCCAAATAGAGACACGTGGAAAACTTTTACATCAGTTAGAACAATATTTTCAGGGCAATAATGAAATATTTAAATTGTCCTTTATTTATAAGATTTAAAGTCATCGAATGCTCACTTGCTTAAGCTGGTGCCCTTTATCTCTTTAGGGAGCAGGCCAAAATGTTAAATATCAAACAGATGCTGTAATTATTTCAGTGACATTTCACCTGCCACTTCCTCATTTTTCCCAGGTGGATTCATAGGGGGATTGTTATAATATGGTGTAAGTTGCTCGGCATAGAATCATGTTGGCTGCTACTTAGAATCTGATGCTCATCTAAGTGATGATGTCAGGTGATGATATTTATATGTTACATATATATCATATATGTGTAACATATATGTATTTGTGTGTGTGTGTGTGAACTGCCTATTCAAATCTTGTGTTTGACTCTTCTTTTGGATGGTTTCTATATTTTTATTGATTTGTAAGTTCTTTAAAAGTTATTTGCCCTTTGTTGGCTACATCTGTTGCAAATATGACCTTCCTCTGGCTTACCTTTTTACTCTCTTAAAGATGCCTTTTGAATATTAAAAAAGAGAGAGAGGAGGTATCTTTTGATGTCAGTTTCTTACTTTTAATGGTCTTAATTTTTTATCAGTCTTTTCCTTTATAGTTAGTACTTTCTGTTTATTTATTGTTAGTCCTACTATGAGCATGAAGCTATTACCCTGTATTATCCTTTTGCAGTCCCCTCCCACTTCCCTGTGGCCCCTGGCCTCTGGCCACACTTGATTTGCTTGCCATTACTGTGGTTTCGTCTCGAGTTTCACATGAGTAGTCTTTGTTCACTTAGTGTTTTGAGAGTAATCCATGTTGTCGGGTGTGTAGTGGTTTGTTCCATCATTGCCAAGTGCTTTTCCGTTGTACACACAGGTTATACCTTGTTCATTTACAGAGTGTGGACATTTGTGCTGGTTCCAGTTTGGGGTTATGAATGAAGTTTCTGTGAACATTCATGTATGCATCTATGGGGATGTATGTTTTCATTTCTCTTGAGTAGATATTCACCAGTAGAACTGTGGGTCTTGGTAAGTATATGTTTAAACTGTTTTTGTTGGAAATGGTCAGTGTTTAACAATGGGTAACCAGACCATTTTGCATTTCTACCAAGATGCATCAGAGATCTAGTTGCTAAACTTGTCAGCACTTGGTATTGTCAGCCTTTTAAATTTTACCCAGTGATCCCACTTCTAGGAATATATCCTAAGGAACCTGAAACACCAATCAGAAAAAATATATGCACTACTATGTTCATAACAGCACTATTTACAGTAGCTAAGATCTGGAAACGGCCCAAGTGCCCATCAGTTTGTGAGTGGATAAAAGAGCTGTGGTACATGTACACAATGGAGTACTATGCAGCATTAAGAAAGAAAGATCTCTTATTCTTTGAGACAACATAGAGGGACCTGGAGAGTATTATGCTAAGTGACAAGCCAATCAGAGAAAGACAAATATTACAGGATCTCACTTATTTGTGGAACATAATGAACAAAATAGACCCAGAGACATAGAAAGGAGTACGATTCAGGCTGACAAACCTCAGAGGAGGGGAGCTGGGGGAGCTAAGAGATAAACCAAAGAAGTTAAATGTATAACCAATGGACATAGACAACAATGCTGGGGGGGGGGGGGGGGTTGGGCAGAAGAGGATGTCTAGGGGGGGAAAAGGAGAAATATCTATAACAAAAATTAATTAAAAAAATTTTAGCTATTCTGTTCTGACTGAATAAAGATATTTTTACAGATAAAGATGTAGAGCCATACCTTTTTGTGGTCTTAATTTTCCTTTTTCTTATGACTCACAGTGTTGACCATCTTTCCACGTGCTGCTTTGCCATGCACGTCTTCACTGGGTGTCTGTCCACATCTTTTGCCGTGTTTAGCAAACCTACACTTCTGTGTGTCTCCTTTACTCTCACACTCACAACCCTTCTGAAAGCAGATGTGTGGGGGTGCTGCGTGCTCCACAATTTAGCTCGATTCTGACACCATCTACCTGGCCTTTAGGCTCAGTCCCACAGGACTGTCTCCTCCCCCTCTCAGTGCCAGTTGCAAGTCCAGTGCTTCTGACTGACTCTAAATTGGAAGTTCCCTTGATCCTCATCTTGGGTTCGATTTGTTAGAGCTGCTCAGAACTCAGGAAGAGAATTTATCAGTGTGTTGTAAAAGGATAAAGGACACAGGAGAGCATCCATATGGAAGAGATGTGTAGGCAAGGGATGGGGAAAGGCTGCGGAGCTTCCGTGCCCTTTCTGGGACTGCCGCTCTCCCAGTTCCTCCGCATGCCCAGCCACCTGGAAGCTCCCTGAGCCCCTGCCACTGGGAGTCTCTGGGGCTTCCTCCCACAGGCATGGTGGGCCATTGCCTCCACTCCAGCGCCTTGCCCCTGCCTGAATGGGGGCGGGGCTGAAAGGGCCAAGCTTGCTTGCTTGCTTGCTTCCTTCCTTTTCTTTTCTTTTCTTTTCTTTTCTTTTCTTTTCTTTTCTTTTCTTTTCTTTTCTTTTCTTTTCTTTTCTTTTCTTTTCTTTTTTTTATTGATTTTAGAGAGAGAGATGGAAACATGAGTGAGCCTCCTGCATGGCTCCCCCCCCCAACCCCGGGGATCTGGCCCACAACCTGGGCGCATGCCCTGACTGGAACTCGAACTGGTGACCTCTTGGTGCAGGGTCGACGCTCAATCACTGAGCCGCACCAGCCAGGCCCAGGCTTATTTATAATCACAGTTTGGTCTTTCTGGTGACCAGCCCTCATCCAGGAGCCACCCAGGAACCCCACCCAAAGTCACCTCATTAGAACAGAAGACTCCTGTCACCCAGAGAGTTCAAGGGATTTAGGAGCCCTGGGTCAGGAATGGGGGTGCGGGGTGAGACAGAGCCCAAATAGAACCAAAGATGCTTCTGGTGTTCTTATCACTTAGAAAGTTCCATGGGTTTCAGGAGCTGGGGACAGAGACCAGTATAAATTTTTTATTATCTCACATGTTCCTTCTCTCCTTTACCTTAATTTTTTTTTTATGTAGTGTGAAATGGGAATGTTTTTTGTTTTGTTTTTTAAGAATTTTATTGATCATTGATTTTTAGAGTGGAAGGGAGAGGGAGAGAGACAGAAACATCAATGTGAGAGCAAAACATCGATCAGCTACCTCCCGCATGCCCCTACATGGAATTGAGCATGTGCCCTGTCTGGAAATCACACCAGCAACCTTTCAGTGCATGGGACAACGCCCAGTCAACTGAGCCACACCAGCCAGGGTGAAAAGTTTTCTTTCTTTTGGTCTAAAGATTAGCATCATTTGTGGAAAAGACGGTCCTTTCCAAACTCTAGTTTGGAGTGAATGGAGGGTCTGTTTCCGTCGTGCCTGGTCCTGTTCCATGGATTTGTGGAACTCTGCCAGCATCAAGTGCACACATTAGAGCTCAGAGGAAGTCTTGAGAGAGTTCTCAGTCTATTGTTTTTAAGAGTGTCTTGGCTATTCTTGGTCGTTTGCATTTCATGTATCTTTAGAATAGTCCTGTCAAATTCAAATGAAAAAAAACTGTTGGGATTTTGGCATAGGTTGCAGTGAACCCATAGATTCATTTTGTGAAGGATTGGTGACTATAACACCGAGTTTAAAGAAAAAGTTTTTCTTTGATTTTAGAGAGGAAGGGAAAGGGAGGGAGGGAGAGAGAGAGAAACATCAATGAGAGAGAACATAGATTGGCCACCTCCTGCATGTCCCCCACTGGCGATCAGGTCCACAACCTGGACATGTGCCCTGACCAGGAATCAAACCAGCAACCTCTGGTGCTTGGGTTGACACTCAACCACTGAGCCACATTGGCCGTGCAATACCGAGTTTTTTATCCATGAATATAATATAATCTTCCTTTAATAAGTGTCTTTCAGATGTTTACATGTCTTGCACGTCTTTTAAAACCTTATTTTTAGCCCTGGTCAGTGTGGCTGAGTGGCTAGAGTGTCAGCTGGTGCACTGAAAGGTCAAGGGTTTGATTCCCTGTCAAGGGCATGTACCTGGGTTGCAGGTTCAGTCCCAGGCCCCGGTTAGGGCATGTGCAGGAGGCAACCAATTGATGTGTCTCTCTCACATTGATGTTTCTCTCTCTCTTTCTCTCTCCCCCTCCCTCTCTCCTGTCCACTCTCTAAAATCAATGGAAAAAATACCCTCAGTTGAGGATTAACAAAAAAAACAACAACGTATTTTTACGTTTATAATTGATATCTTTTTTAGACTTTCCTTTTCTAACTTGCTAATAATAATTTTATGTCTCTTAAAAATATTTTTTTTGGTTAATCCTCATCTGAGGATATTTTTCCATTGATTTTTTTTTTTCTTTTGATTGGAACTTTGAGGGAGAGAGAGAGAGACAGAGAGAGACAGAGACAGAGAGAGAAACATCGATGGGGCTGTGGGCAGACATTAACTGCTGAGCTAAATTGGTTGGTCAGGGCTAATTTCATGTCTCTTTAAAAAACCAGCTGTTGGTTTTGTTGATCTTCTATTTGTATGTTTCTTACTATGTTAGTGATTTCCCCAGCACTTGGCCCAAACGGGGCTTGCATTTTGGCCCAGTTCCTTACCCTGTGTTGCCACGCTTCTTGCTCATAATATTTCATCTTCCACTCCTCACATTTCTGGAGTTGTTCACCAGGAGGGTTTCAGTTTGGAGTCTCTCATATAAAACCCAGGAGGCCAGGAGCTGAAATGACATTTCTGAGTGGCAAAGCTGGGCCTCAAGTTTTTCAACCAGCACTGATCTTAAACTGCTGAGCAGTGCTGCTGACTTGTCTCTTACTGTCCCTGCCGTCAGTGCTGAAGTCTGTGCTCCGGGGCATCCCATCTGTGGGGCTCGTAGATTTGCAGTGATGTTAGAGGCTGGCCGCTGCTCCTTGTACTTGATTCTCAGTCAAGCTTTGGTCACATCGCTTCTTTGTCTCAGAGTGACAGGAGATACCTTTCAGTTGGAAAATAATATGCTGTGTTTGATTTATGAGCTTTAATGAGAATAACCAGCAGGAGTATCTTGGAAAAGACAGTTAACTCCTTTTGTTTGTTTCCTCATTTGTGGAATGAAAGGGTTTCTAGCTTTAAAATTCTGCTTTTTACTGGTATAGAGAACTGTTCACATACTCTTTATCAGAAATGTGTGTACCTGGAGCAGGCACTCAATTTGTACAAAGAATTTTAATCTGCTAATATGTACACTATATAATTTATTGTCTGTATACTTTTTACAGTTGTTTTGTTAAAATGCCAACATAATACTCATTCTGCTTCATAATGGTTTTACTTTTTTACTTTTATAGAGTTAACACTGAACCCTCCGGAAGGAATTGTGGCAGGTGAGGCACTAAAGCAACCTTCTTCTAATTCACTTCTAACAGCCAGAGAAGCCTTCACAGTTACAATGTGGATACTTTTCTTTTCCTGCAGGCCCCATGAATGAAGAGAATTTTTTTGAATGGGAGGCATTGATCATGTAAGTTAATCATATGTGTTGTGAGTCTTAAGGCTTGGCTGGAAGTTAGGCCTGTGCATCACGCTTGGCAGTGCGACCGCTCAGGAGTGGTGATTACCAGAAAGGCGAGTGTGCCTCTGAGATCGAGCTCTTCTCTGGGCTGCGGCCCCGAAGGCAGGGGCCGACACGGACACTGCCCGGAGGAAGGGTAAAGGCGCAGTAAGCACCGGGCTCTCGTAGGGCTTCAGAGCAGCGAGTGCCGAGCGCTGTGCTGCGTCGGCTCCGGAGCTCTGCGAGCCGGGGCTCTGAGGCTGGGAAGGCCTCTTCGTGTGGGGCGGACACCCCACTTGTGCACCAGGACTGGCCTTCCCCTCTGCCTCTCCTGCCGTGTGCCTTGTCTGGCCTGCCACGGTCCCTGCCTGGAGAAGTGCCCAGTTCTGGGATGCCCAGGGCGGTTCCTGCCCCGTTCTGGGAAGACTGTGGCTGGATTTTGTGGTGTCTCATGTACAGTGATGCTCTGAGAGCAGCCAGTGGGCTTCTGATTCTAGAGTCTTCTATGGCTCTGTGACCCGGGCTCTTTGTCTGTCCTCTTTCTACCTTATGTGCAATATTTGGCCGTTCTTAGACTTAGTGTATTTGAAGAAAATGTGGTCGGGTAACATTCAGGGAGTTGACATTTAGAATTAGTCCCTCATTTTTCTCAGTAGTGAGATGAAGTCTTCAGGTAGCCAGGAAGTTTTCCTGTTGGATGCAGTGCGCTAGCGTGACGTTACCGAAGCAGTTGTGGGCTCTGGTTTCAGGGTGTCTTTATTTTATTTTATTTTATTTCATTTCATTTCATTTTATTTTATTTTATTTTATTTATTTATTTTTTATCCTCACCCGAGGATATTTTTCCATTCTTTGTACAGACAGAGAGGGAGAGAGAGAAAGGAAGGGAGAGAGAGAGAGAAACATCGACGTGAAGGGACACATCGAGTGGCTGCCACCCACACGACCAACCAGGGCCGGGGACAAACTGCAACCGAGGTACGTGCCCTTAGCGGGAACCGAACCCGGGTCTCTCCAGACCGCAGGCCGACGCTCTAACCGCTGAGCTAAACTGGCCAGGGCCAGGGTGTCATTTTAAATGTCATCTGGCTTTCTGAATTTGCCTGGTGCTTGTACAACATTAGTTCTTAGTATTTGCATGTTAGTCTGAGAAACTGTTGTCTGTGAGGTTAGCGTAATATGTGAAAATTGATGTGAAGATGAGTTTTCTGATAAGCAAAGTATTTTTTTTTTTTTTTTATCCTCACCTGAGGACATTTTTCCATTTTTGTTCAGATATAGTGGGAGGGAGAAAGAGAGAGAGAAACATCGACGTGAAAGGGACACATCGAGTGGCTGCCTCCTGCACAACCCCAGCCGGGGCTGGGGACAAACTGCAACTGAGGTACGTGCCCTCAGCTGGAACCAAACCCGGACCTCTCTGGACCGTAAGCCGACGCTCTAACTGCTGAGCCACACCGGCCAGGGCAGTATTTTAAAAATCAATAAATACTATCCAGTGACAGTATAGCACACTGATGTTTCATTATCATTTGTAATACCCTCACTGTGTGGGTCCATGTTACCCATAGTTTTTCTGTGATTTAGTGTTTCTGGCATGAGGATGTCTCTGCAACTTGTGTTTGTATCTGTGGTATTGTGTCTGTCACCCCTACAGCAGTGATAAGTTGATTGTGGGCTTTAAGTCAGCGTAACCTACATCCAGTGGAAGGAACGCAGCACTGCACGTCTATTAGCAAGCTCTTTGTTGTTGTTTGTAACTCCTCACCTGAGGGTGTTTTCCCATGGATTTTAAGATAGAATGCACAGGAGGCAGGGGAGAGAGAGAGAAACATCGATGTGAGACACATCGATTGGTTGCCTCCCGCATGTGCCCAAACTGGGGCTGTGGATCGAACCTGCAACCAAGGTACGTACCCCTGACTGGGAATTGAACTCGAGACCTTTAGGTCCAAGGGCTGATACTCTAACTGCTGAGCCAGACCAGCAGGGCGCTCTTTGTATTTTTAAAGAAACAGGAGATCACACTATAGGAACTTGATCTGTAACCCACTTTTCTCATTTATTGTGCCATGTGCACTCCTTTGTGTTAACATGGACACATACACCTGCCACCGTGCAGCAGGCCTGGTCGTAGGGGCAGAGGTCCATGCGCACCTGATGGGCCCTTTGTCTCTGGGAGGTAACTGCTCTGTGCAGCCAGGAGACTGTTTAGAAGCCCTTGAAAGGGACACATGAGCCCTTCACTACGGTTTTTTAATAGTGCTTATTGTTAAAAATCTGTTAGGGTAACTATTACTAATTTTAGATAAACAGTATAAAATTAAATCAATATTTTGAAAACCTGTTGTAAAAAGTAATTAGAACTATTTTTTAGGTAGAGCACTTTTATGTTTGAAGAAGGCTTTTGCTTTCATGTGGAATTCCCCTGCTTCAGGATCTGGTGAGTTTGTGGGTTTTGGTCCTGTTCCAGACCCTTTCACAAACAAGAGGCCGCTCACCAGTGTGCTTAAAACATCTATTAAGGAATTAACTGTCCTCCCATTGATTCGGCTCACCCTCCTGTGTTGGCAGACAGCTGGCTGAGCTTTTCTACTTCGTGATAAGTTTTCTTTTCTTTCTTTTTATTCTTTGACTGTTTCCAGAGTTTCTTCCATCCCCTAGTGTTTATGAAAGCCGTGCTTGCCTCATTCCCCGAGTTTGCAGCTTGCCTCCCGAGCCTCCATCCCGGCTGTGCCAGGGAGCAGACGTCTTTCCACGTGTTGCAGACACAAACACTGACAGCCTTGTTCGTGCAGACAGGCATGTCAGGGGTGACCCCAAACCTCCACCCTTAAACAACAAGACTGAGGGACTAGGGTGGGAGCGCAACAAATTAATGAACAGGAAGAACTAAATGATAAAATTGCTACTGCCTGTTCTCTGATTAATAGGGGGAAAGAACTCTGATGACTCTCTGCAGAGCTTGTGTTGGAGTTGGAGCCTGCAACTCAGCAGGACGGCTGGGGCTCCTGTCGGACCCAGGGAGGTGGGCCAGCAGGGCTGTGTGGCCACATGGCTTCATGGGCTTGGGCCAGTCACCCTGCCTCTCTGACCTGCACTTCTCTGGATCCAAACAAAGAGGTTCAGCTCTGGCTGGGTGACCTCGCTGGTCCCTGGCTGTGGTGTGGGGTCTGTCTGAGGGCCCTCACCGTGGAGGTCGGACCTGCTCTCTCTTTGGAGCCCTTCAGTGGGACAGAGCCCGCAGTGCAGGAGGGGTGTGCATCGCCAGCGGTGGGAACAGGCATGAAGACCCTTGGAACTTTGCCACATTGTTTCTGTCCTTCCAAAGCATTCTCAAAGTAGCTGGTAGTGGTCACCTCCCTGCCTGGTCCATGGCCTAGCTGCTGTCCCCTCTCCAGACCTGTCAGCTGTGATAAAATGACAAGGACTTCCCCTTCCTGAGTGGTTGGGCACCGTTGGCTGACTACCCACATCACTGTGGCACATTTGAGTTTGAGCTGGGTCACCTGTGGGTGCGAGGACTCCAGGCGTCTGCTCTGCCTAGGGCTGTGCTTGGTGTGGACGCCATGGTCACAGCAGCCACCCTTCCGCCAGGCTCTCATTTACAGAGGACGGTCACAGAGCTGCTCTGGGTGTGGTCCTGCTGAATAAACCTGAGGGGTTAAAGTAGATGCTTATAGTTTGTATTTATGTTCTCTGGCCCAACAGTCCCCACCCTAGGAATTCCTTCAACAAGAGTGCTGTTGAGACCTCAGTATGAGGACACCCTGCAGCATTGCCATAGTAACACGGACCTGGCACCGTGTCCCGTATGGCTCACGGGGTATCCACACAGCGGAATGCCATGTGGCTCTGGAGGGTTCCAGCAGAATCCACATACTGGCCTTTCGAAGTGTCCCCAGTTGTTATGGGAGAAGCAAATTATGGAACAATAGGTCTAGACCAGTGCTATCAACTGGGGTTTCTCCCCCCGCCCCCGCCTCCAGGACATTTGGCACTGTTTGGAGATATATTTGGTTGTCACAACTGAGGAGTAGGAGGAGCTCCATTACTGGCATCTAGTAGGACACTGCCAAGCACCCCATAGTGCACAGGATGGCCCTACACACAGCAAGGGACTGTCTGCCCCAAGATGCAGCCGTGCTGAGGTCAAGAAACCCTGGCGTGGCATGAGGCATTGTCCCCAGTGTAAAAATTTTCACAGCTTTCTTGAGATGTAATTTATGTGCCATAAGTTGTCGTGTATTAAGTGTACAAGTCAGTGATTTTAGTAAATATACAGTGGAACCTCAGTTCCCAAACTTAATTCATTCTGGAACGGCTGTTTGAAAAGCAATTTCTTTGAAAACAGAATCACTTTTTCCCATTAGAAATCATGTAAATTGAATCAGTCCATTCCAGACTCCCAAATAATTCCGTTTTAACATTTCTTATAAGGTATTTCTTTTTTAAGCTCTGTCATTCTAACAACTTTCCTTTTCACTTTCCTGCTATCACTAACCTTAAGACCCATGGTGACTTGCTGTAGACATTTCATAATAATACGGTAAGCAGCAACAAAAGCAAAAAACACAAAAATGTTCACAGCACATTTTCCTGAGATGTTAATGTGAGGTTTAGCAGTACACTGACTCCTAGACGCGCATTCTCTCCTTCGTCTGTATCCTGAGAGGTGCATGACAGAGCTTACAGGCATCCACACGAAAGGATTGTTGGGTCGAGAACCCAAGTTTTGTTTGACGACTGAGACATTTTTCTGTGAACAACTTGGTCGAGAACAGAATTATTCGAGATGTGAGATGTTCGAGAACCGAGGTTTGTGTAGAGTTTTGTGGTCACCATCACAATCCAGTTTTAGAACATTTTCGAGAAGGCCCTCATCACCTTTGCAGTCAGTCCCTGCTCCCACCTCAGCCGTAGGCAGCCCTGCTCTACTTTTTAACTTAATAGATTTGCCTTTTTTGGACTTTTCCTGTAGATGGAATCATAAAACATCTAGTCTTTTGTGTCTGACTTCTGGTACCCGGTGTACTGCATAGACTGAGTTCCTGTCGCAGAGTGTTGGCGGTTCTTCCCTTTTTGTTGCCAGTCGTGCTCCGCTGTGTGATGGGCCACATCTGATGTGTGTCCACTCACCAGCTGAGGGACATCTGGGTGTCCACGTTTGGGCTGTGTGCTGCAGTGCACTGTCTGTGGACATGCTGCTCCATTTCTTCGGCTGGAAACACGGGAGTGGAGTTGCTGGAGGGTAGAGTACGTCTGTATTTAACAGCTTAAGAAACAGACTGTTTTCCACAGTAGCTCACTCACCGTTTTACATTCCTACCAGCAGCATGTGAGGGTTTTTCTTTCTCCCCTCCCTCCTCCCCTTGGCGTTGTCTGGTTCCAGCCATCCTACTGGGTTTGAAGTGGGAATTTACTGTGGATTTGATCTGCTTTTCCTTAAGGACTAAATGTGTTGACTGGGCTGTAACACAGGTGCCCCTCATGGCCTACCAGGCTCTGTTGATGATCCTTCTGGAAGTAGAGGGTATTAGGAAGCAGTATGCTTTTTCTTTTTCATGCTTCAGGTGGTTACGTCTTTGGATCATAACTATCTAGTAATCCAGTTCAGGTTTAGGTACTAATGAATGGGTTTGCAATCTTTACTGTTTAAACCCTTGTCATATGTATGAGACATTTTGCTCTTGTGCTGTGACAAACCTAAAACAGGAAACAGCAAAAACAGCATCTTCACCACTTGCCCCAGCGGGAGAGCTGTGTGAGCTGTGGTGCTGGGAAATGCCCGAGGGCAGGTGGCTCGCACCAGGTGTGCCTGGCTCCACAGGCGATCAGCTGACCAGCTGTGGACGCTGCAGAATCGGGGGTGCCAGGACTCTGCGCACAGGCAGCTGTCCCTTGCACAGAGCGGGCGCTGTGAGCAGGAGCCTGGGTTAGACCACAGCTGTCCCTTGCACAGAGCGGGCGCTGTGAGCAGCAGCCTGGGTTAGACGCAGCGCTGCTCTCAGTGTTTGCTCCTGAGCAGCGGCACCCTGGAGCCAGTCATCAGAGCGAGCGATCGGGAACGTTTCCTTCGCAGGTGCCAGCGCTGTCTCAGGGCTCCGGAATCATGGAGGCCCTTATTTTAATAAGATGAAAAACAATTTTCAGGCTTTGGATAATATGTATTTGCCTCAGATAAATATTTTGTTTCCTTTGTTTTTATTGTACATTTTTGTCTGAAGATTTTGAAATGAGGCATTTAGTGAGGGAGAAATGAGGCTATCACTTCTTTATTGCCTGGAGTGTGGCACTAAAACTTGTCCAAAAATAATACTAATTATGTCTCCCTGTCTTGGTTTAGGAATTTACTTGCTAGAGTTTTCCATCCGTCAGCTGGCATGTCACTGCCCACATGGGCCCAGCTGCAGGCTTGTCCCGGCACCAGGCCTCTGGGAGAGAAAGGGGCCCTGGTTTAGACCAGCAGCCACCAGAGCATGGGAATCGCTTTGATACTGAAGATGTGGGGGCATTGTAGGAAATGTTTGATCATGTTTCTGAGGCTGTGGATGACCCAGTGGATTTATTTATTTATTTTAATTTTAAAGAAAGCGCTATTATGAGAAACAAAGAACTGTTATCAAAGTATTGAGCAAGTATCATTTGGCTCATTCCAAAAGCATTACCTAGACATTTTTTCTCTACTAAATCAGAGGTGGCAGAAAGATCGGAGCACTGGCGTGCATTCCTGACATAGTAACACTGTTGCTTTTGAAGGTAGTGTCTCTGTTTGTCCAGCCTCTGAGTTAGTAGTTTTGAACTGTGTTCTACTCTTAACTCCGGCACTGAACCAACTGATTTAAGACCTTGACCAATCATTTCATGCTTGGGTCTCCCAGCTTTCCTTAAGTTTAAGCAGCACTTCTGACAATGTCATCAGGACATGTGGAGTAAGGACGGAGTGGTACTTTTACTGTCTGCCCTGAGCTCTTCTGCTGGGCAAGAGGTGATCGGAGATCTCTGGGGCGTGGTCTGTGCGGACCCCTGCGCAGAGAGGCTTCCAGGGCGTGATTCAGGAAGAGTGCCGCAGGGTTGGCGCTGCCCGCGCTGGTGTTGGCCTGCAGCCCTGTCCCAGGCTGGACCCTCGCCTGCAGTGCAGCTGGGCCACCTCTCTTCCAGGAGCCCACCCCACGCCCTCCTCTTCATGTGGTTTTCCTGTCCTGGTTTCAGGCCAAGGCTCTGGGCGCTGTCGTGCAGTGACATCCTCCAAAACAAAGTAGCTATTCACTGTGGCTCCCCCCAAAATAGCAAGGACACAGTTTTCAGAATCAAGGTTAGCCTCTTAAATCGAAAATATTTAGTTCTACCGAACACTTCTCACCTTGTTCCTGTTTTGACCATTTTACCGCAGCGCAGCCTCCAAGGAGGATGCTTCGATCCGGGCCTCTGCTGAGATGGTGTCATCGAAGGCCCCGAGTCGGCACCAAGTGAAGATAAAGCTCTGTTCTGTTCTTTTTCTTTTTTAAAACTATGTTTTTTAAAATTGATTTTAGAGAGAGAGGAAGGGAGAGGGAGAGAGAGACATCAATTGGCTGCCTCCTATATGCATGTCGACCGGGACTTCACCTGCAGCCAGACGTGTGCCTCAAGCGGGCTCGAACCGGCTACCCTTCCGTGCACAGGACGGTGCTCAGTCAACCAGCCACACCGGCCAGGGCCCAAGCTCTGTTCTTTTTGAATTTTTTGTCTTATTCCTTTAATTATGGAGATGTTTCTGATATTTGCAAGTCTATATAAATTTTTTAAATTTCACTGAATTAAAATAATTTTATGAAGATTTAAAGTAAACTTATACTTTAAACAACAATTTTAAGAATGTATGTAGATTGTTTTAGTATAAATATATTTTAATATTTCTTCTGTGCCATATCTTGCACTTATCTATCTGTCGTCGAGGCGGTAGGCCTCCCGTGTGGAATTGCTTCCGCAGTGGCCCAGGCTTCAGTCCCGGTGGTGGTGATGGCACGCACCTTGCTGTAGAATTCACGTTAGGACCGTTGTTTAGAGAGACAGTGTTTCTAAAGGGACTTCTCAGTTCATAGGAATAGAGTGGGGTTTCTTTTCTTATTTATCGAACAGATGGGTTATGCCCAAAGTGGTTGCTGCTGTTGCAATGTTTGTAGCTGTCATTCAGCAGTTCTGTGTTCGATGGAAATTTACTTTGGAAAAATGGTCTGAGATCTGTTAAAACTACTCTAATGCAGATTTTGTAAACGACATTTTTCTTGGGGGAGGAGTTCATCTCTGTTCAGATGTGAGCTGGTGGCTCTCATGTCTCCTCTCCTGCTGGCCACTGTGCTGTGTATTGATCAAGAGGGTGTTCATTTGCGCCCCTAGTTTTACAGTGTGATAGCCTTGGAAGTGGCTAGTCCATTGCTTCCACTTTCCACACGAGCAGTTGGTGAACCCAGGCAGACAGGCATGCACGTGCCTAGTGACACCTAGGACTTGGCGATGACCCCTAGTGCTTAGGTGACGTGTAGGTGCAGGGTGGCCCTGAGCCCAGGCCTGCGGGTTGAGGCTCACAACACTGCCGCACGTGTGCACACCTGGCCTCTGCAGGGAGCCTGGCAGGGACCATGTGTGCGCTTTACCTGCTTCTGGAAGGTTACAGAAATTCCTTCTGAGGCTCCGTTTAAAAATTAAAAATAGGCCCTGGCCAGTTTGGCTCAGCGGTTAGAGCGTCGGCCTGCGGTCCGGAGAGACCCGGGTTCGGTTCCCGCTGAGGGCATGTACTTCGGTTGCAGTTTGTCCCCGGCCCTGGTTGGTCGTGCGGGTGGCAGCCACTCGATGTGTCCCTTCATGTCGATGTTTCTCTCTCTCTCTCCCTCCCACTCTATCTGTACAAAAAATGGAAAAATATCCTTGGGTGAGGATTTAAAAAAAAAATTAAAAATAGGCCTGGCCAGTTTGGCTCAGCAGTTAGAACATCAGCCTGCGGACCAGAGAGGCCAGGGGTCGGTTCCCGCTAAGGGCACGTACCTCTGTTGCAATTTGTCCCTGGCCCCAGTTGGGATCATGTGGGTGGCAACCACTTGATGTGTCTTTCTCACGTTGATATTTCTTTTTCACGTTGATGTTTCTTTTTCTCTCTTCCTCCCTCCTGCTGTATCTGAAGATAAATGCAAAAAAAAAAAAAAGTCCTCGGGTGAGGATAAAAATATAAAATAAATTTTAAAAATCCTCACCTGAGGATATTAAAAAAAAAAATTTAAAAATAGCCTTTGGGAAACAACTCTCAATCCTCATTTATTTGCTACAATAGAACCTTGCTATAACATGTGCCATAATTTATATCTTTCTCCTAAAATGTAATTGTACAACATCTACAGAAAAGCAAAGTCCTTGAGATCTTGTGATGCTGGCCCTAGTACCTTTCTCTAATCCTGTGATGATAGAAGTTCTGCCGACCCACTGTTACCTCTGTTAGTGGAAAAACTACCTTACCTTGGTCTTTGTGCTTGTACCTAAGATTTAAACCAGATTGAAATGGGACAATGAGACAGTATTCATCATTAGTATTTATATACTCTTTTCATGTGCAATAAAGCAGTAAAAATGTTCTGAACTCATTTCTAAAGTGTGGTAAACATTGAAAAATCTACCTTCAAGTTCTATGTATTTTATATCTTCCAGGGGCCCAGAAGACACTTGCTTTGAGTTTGGTGTTTTTCCAGCCATCCTGAGTTTCCCGCTTGATTACCCATTAAGCCCCCCCAAAATGAGATTTACCTGTGAGATGTTTCATCCCAACAGTAAGTGCTTTTGGAAGTTGTTTTGATGGTTCCATGAGGGGCCCAGAGATTGTATAACTGTGAAAGGTAGTGTTAGTGAGTGACATAGACCATTGAAAATACTTTTTATGTTCTGAACTTTAGCAAATTAATCATGGTGTTATTGACATTGTGATTTCAGTTTAGAAGGACATTTTAATGTAGATAAAAGAAAACGTGGACCTAAAACTGGTCCCATTTGAGCTGGCCGTCCTGCTGGCAGTGGGCTGCAGGAGGAGAGCCGGTGTGGGCGTGTGCTGTGGGCGTGTGCTCTGGGCGTGTGCTCGAGGGCTGTGTCCTCACCGCAGCGTCGTTTTTGACTGGAAAAATTGGAAGCAACCCAGGTTATCAACGAGAGAGAATCAGTTAAGTCGTATTCATCCATATGTTAAGGTACTACATAGATATTGCAGATGATTTAGAAAGTATATGATATGGGATGATGTTTGTGGTGTATTGATGAGAAAAGCAGGTTATCTATAAATTTGTTACAATTTAACTGGAAATGCAGCACAAAATTTAAAATTGATTCTCTTTCAGTGGCATAATGAGCTTTTCTTTTCGTATAATTTTTTTCTAAAACCAACATGTATTACTTTTAAAATAGAAAAAAGGTTTTTTAAAACAAATTTATTGTACTTTTAGTCGAAAAAGTGTCTAGTAGCAAGGATCAGAATTCCTGAATGGCTGTAATTTTTTCTTATTTGTACAGTTAGGGATTATAGAGAAGAGAATAAGGAAATAAGTTGTGTTTTCAATTATCATGTTTAGAATAATGTTCCTTTTTATAAATGATTATTATTGCCACATCATGATCTTAATAGTTGTGGAGAAGTAAGATATATCATTTTGTAGCGATGAAATATATACTTATTTGAAATCATTTTCTTTTCCTGTACTTTTCTGCATATCAAATAGCCAAAGGCTAATTTAATCCATGAGAGAATTTATAGAATTTTCTTAATCTTTGACTTCTCTCTTGGTTTACAAATGAACCCACTTGGCATACTGTCTCCTAGACTATCTCATCTGTGCACCCCCACACTCAAAAGCCCTGCCCAGACTTTATCCCAGTGAGAGTCCAGGATTACCCACCAGGGAAATGTTCTCTTCCATGGGACGAGCTGCTCAAACCCTCATTAGGAATTTGTCATTTACTAGTGATAAGGGAACATAAAGGTAATTAGATTTCTCCTCAGAGAGACCATTCTGTACCTTTCCTTAGCTCAGCATTAGTTAATTTCTTGCACACACATGACATTCACTGGACTACTACCTACCTTGGTGCGTGTTTGAAGTAATAAGTGGTGGGTTCCTGGCCTGGTGGCTCAGTTGGTTGGAGCATCGTCCTATACACCAAAAGGTGGCAAGTTTGATTCCTGGTCAGGGCACATACCTGAGTTGCAGGTTCAATCCTCAGTTCAGGCTCGTGCAGGAGGCAACCAATTAATGTTTCTCTCTCTCCCTTTCTCTCTTAAATTTTTTTTTTCTAAAACCAACGTGTATTACTTTTAAAAAGAAGAAAAAGTAAGGTTATTTGAACAAATTTATTGTACTTTTAGTTGCAAAAGTGTCTAGTAGCAAAGATCAGAATTCCCGAATGGCTGTAGATTTTTTTCTTCCTTGTACAGTTAAAAAAAAAAGGTAGATTTTTGTTTTGTTTTGTTTTTAGTTTTCAAATCTATTTTTATTGTATCAGTGGTGAGTCACATTTTGCTTAAAGATCTAACAGGCGTTTTTCAAAGATGCAACTGAAAAAGAAGGGAGGAGACTCAGATGAAGGAAGACCTCGGGGAGGCTCAGAGAGCATTTACACAAGAGTTTAAAATAGAATTGGTTGAACAGGTCAACAATTTCAAGTTGATTAATCATAAAATGCAACTATAAACAGGATTGTGGGTAATTAAAAAATAATAATATTTTATTGAAGATAAATGGTCTTTACAACAATGCCTGTGACGTTGTGTTAGAAACAAGTATGGCCAATGAACTGGTTCAACTGTGTGAATGTGCAGTAGGAAAAGTCTGATAATATTATTTCAGTGTTCAGATAATTAATACAAATAGTTTTCAAATTCAGACTTACTGTAAATGTGTGCTATTTTTATTTTATAAAAATTATTTGTGAGAAGAGCTATATTAGATAGGTCTACCAATATCATGAAAATTGGTCAGTCCATAAATACTTAAAAAAATAATTGAACAGCCTTGGCCTGCTTGGCTCAGCGGTTAGAGCCTCGGCCCTCAGAACAAATGAGTCTCGGGTTTGATTCCAGTCAAGGGCACGTACCTCATACCTCGGTTGTGGGTTGGTCCTGGCCCTAGTAAGGGTCATGTGGGAGGCAACCAATCAATGTCTTCCCTTCCTTCCCTCCACTCTATCTGAAGATAAATGGGAAAATATCCTCAGGGGAGGATTAAAAAATAGTAATAATTGAACACATTTACTGAGTTGCTGGGATACAGTGGTGAGCACATAATAAAAGGTGGGGGGGCTGGGCTGGAGGTGAGGTGGGGACATGCTCCGCAGAGGTGGCGGCCAAGCTCAGTCCTCAAGGGAAGAGCAGTGGGGCTGCCTAGCAGGGGAAGGAGAGAGGGACGGCGGGCAGGGGCCAGTCCAGTTGAGGCCTTTGGGCAGTGATGCAGATTTAGGTGTTCATTTGAGGAACGTGGTGAGCTGCTGAGGGCTTGGCATGAGAGTGAGGGCTAGCATGGGCAGCGTGGTCTTTGAGGGTCACTCTGGTGTGGTGTCAGGTACAGATGGGGAGCCTGCTGGGACACAGCTGTGGTGACCAGGGGAGAGGAATGTGGGCGTGGAGGTTCAGGGGAGGGTTGGGGGAAAACATGGAACTCCGTCAGAGGGAGGTGGCGCAGGGACACGGCTCTTTCAGGTATGTAGGGTCACTGCGCAGTGCGTCACCTTGGAGAAGGGACACTGAAGTTGTAAACTTCTTGATACTTCCTCTACATTTATGGCAGAGAGAACGGGTGCCCAGGTCCCGGGGATGGGGCCTGGAGAGGGGCGTCCTCACGCCCATGACCAGCATGCAGCTCCCAGGCCTCGTACTCAGTGGGAGTTTGTGCTGTGCTGTGTGGGTCACTGAAGAGCAGAGAGCACTGGGCGGGGCTAGTGGGAGCGGTGAGGGCCAGGGGGAAGGGAGGCTGCTTAGAACTCACAGCTCGCAATCCCATGAATGCAGGTGAATTCAATGAATTTATTTTAAATGATCCCCTTTTTTTCTGTTACGTGCCCCTAGCAGGAATCGTACCCAGGACTCTCTGGTCCACAGGCCAATGCTCCAACCACTCAAACTGGCCAGGGCATCTCTTATTTTTATTTTTTTTAAATTAATTAATTTATTTTTATTAATTAATTTTTGTTACAGATGTTTTTCCCCCACTGATTCACCCCTCCCCCCCTGCCCTGTCCCCAGCTTTGTTGTCCATGTCCATTGTTCATGCATACATGCATATAAGTTTTGTTGTTTATCTCTCTCCCCCCCCCTCTTCTGGGGATTGTCAGTCTGTACCCCACTTTCACGTTTCTGGGACTACCCCATTCCTCAGACTGTTATGTTCATTATATTCCACAAATAAGTGAGACCATATGATACTTGTCTTTCTCTGTTTGGCTTGTTTCACTCAGCACAATGCTCTCCAGGTCCCTCAATGTCATCTCAAAGGATAAGAGATCTTTCTTTCTTACAGCTGCGTAGTACTCCATTGTGTACATGTACCATAGCTTTTTATCCATTCGTCTGCTGATGGACACTTGGGCTGTTTCTTAGCTATTGTAAATAGTGCTGCTACGAACATGGGGGTTCTTGTTTTTATTATTAGAACTTAGTAGCCTTAGAATTTTACGATTGAATCTATCTCTATTGATTCCTGGATGTCTGAGTATATGCGGAAGGAACCCTCTGAAACTCTGTAAGTATACGAGAGAAAGATAACAGATGCTTCAACGTTCTCATTAGGAATGATTATGTACTGTGAGTGAAAATTCATTCTTCTCCAATCAGGTCTTCGGTGTCTTGCTATAAATGTTGGCCAGGTGAACAGTTTTTCAGACATATAATGATAGAATTATGAATATCTAAGAAACTCATTCTGAAAAGTATTGTGAACAATCTTAATTATATAAAATATTTTAGTGAGCCCTGGCCGGTTTGGCTCAGTGGTTAGAGCGTCGGCCTGCAGTCCAGAGAGACCCAGGTTTGGCCCACTAAGGGCACATACCTTGGTTGCAGTTTGTCCCCGGCCCCGGTTGGGGTGGTGCAGGTGGGAGCCACTTGATGTGTCCCTTTTACATCGATGTTTCTCTTCCTCCCTCCCACTCTATCTGAATAAAAAATGTCCTCTGGTGAGGATAAAAAAAAAATTTTTTTTTTTGGTGAAATATTTGACTGCCAGATAACCTTTCATTTATTTCTTTTGGAAATAATATTTTTTAAAAAATCATTTGAAAGTGGAATTGTCCCTTAATGACTAGAACTGGACAGCCCAGCCTAGAGCCCCGTCGGGGTGAGCAGTGCCCGGAGGGGCTGGCGCAGGCCCACAGCACCACGTGGATGGGAGCTTGACGCTGGGGCTCAGGGTGTGCTCCAGCTGTGCAGACAGTCCGCGCTCTGTGTCCGCACCTCCGCTCCCTTCCTGTGTGGGCTCAGACCACGTGGCCCAGTCATCGCTCACCCGGTGTCTTCTGGCCCCTGCAGTCTACCCTGATGGCAGAGTCTGCATTTCCATCCTCCATGCTCCGGGTGACGACCCCATGGGCTATGAGAGCAGTGCCGAGAGATGGAGCCCCGTGCAGAGCGTGGAGAAGATCCTCCTGTCGGTGGTGAGCATGCTGGCAGGTACGTCGAGGCCTTGGTCACGGAGGGCTCGCCACTAGTGGATGAAACCAGATAGCTCGGTGGCTGCGCCGCCTCCCTCATTTCGTCCTTGTCTTCATAATTCAGTTTTATTGTTTCTGATGACTTTATATATATATGCTTTTCTGCTTTTTCATTTCATGTTATTTGTATGCACTGTTCCAGGCACAACCATACTTTTCATAATTTTAAATTTCAAAGATGGTCTTATGCTGTGTATCTCATGTCGATCAGAAGTAGCTGTCCTTATCTTCATTTCGTAGGCATCTATCATGGGACTCGCTGTATTGCAGCCACAGTATACCAGGGGTGTAGAGCCCAGGATGACAGACCCCAGCCTTAAGGCCCCTTCCTTCTAAGGAAACATTCCAAATCCACCAACCGTTGCGGGGCACTCTGATAATCCTACGGTCACAGTGCCCAGAGGGCTCTCAGGCCAGCTCCCAGGCTGGGACTGTCTGGGGTGAATTAGGACATGCAGGAGTTACGAGGTAAGGGAGGAGGAGAGGCGGTGGCTCTGGTGGAGGCACTGCCAAACCCTCTGTGGCTGGAGCCCGGCTGGGCCAGGGGCCCTGCAGAAGTGCACTCCCGCAGACCGCCGCCCGGGGGTGTCAGATCCTGCAGCCTGAGCCGCGGGAAGACCCTCCTCGAGAGATGAGAGACGAGGATTTGGTCGGGTGTGGCGTTTGGAGCAGGGCGGGACACCCTGGGCCCAGGGAAGGGTGTGGCAGACACAGTGTAGAACTCGGGCACACTGGGGTGTGGTGACTCCTTCCTGTGTTCTGAGTGCCTGGGCAAAAGGGTGCTGTCTTTGGGGACAAGAACCCAGAGGGAGCTGGATTTGGGGAAGGGAACAGTTCGGGTTGTGAGTGTCCACTGTCTGGGAGCCATTCAGATGAGGGCAGATCATGGAGTGAGAGTGTGGGATCATCTGTGGATAAGACAGTGGGTGACGTGGACAAAGGGCACATGGAAGGAGAGGGGTCCTCAGAGGAGTGTGGGGGAGTGGTCTGGGAATCGAGGGAATGGAGATGTGTTAGAGGAGAACGTTGACTGCTGCAGGAGGCCCAGGGGAGGTTCCAGCTAGAGGTCCAGCTGAGCAGCCACTGGGTTTGACCGCTTGGGCTGCGGCGACGTCCCAGAAGGGGAAGTCCAGGGTCTCAGAGGTGTGTGTTCGAAGCTGGTGCTCCCCCTCCTCACGCAGAGCGGACAGGAATGGAAGGTGTGAAGGCAGGAGAGAGGCAGCGACTTGGCCGTCTTCTGATGTCAGCTCTGCATTCTGCCGTTACAGACATTTTGCTGTAAATTCTTGTCCTTTTTTGTTTTAGTTTAACGTAGTCTTTATGCACACTCCTGTTGGAGTGTGTCCCCTGCTCTGAGCTGCCTCCCTGCGCAGTCAGCGCTCAGTCTGCCCCTCCTGCTCAGCTTCGCCTCCGTCCTGTGCTCCTCCAGGCAGCCGCGGGGGCACTGCGTTTCCTCGGCCAGGGGCTCTGGGCAGGGATTGGGGGGCTCTGTTCAAGCTTGGATGTTCCCTGCAGTCTGGTCCAGGGGGGGTCCCCTGAGTGCCACAATCTCGGGAAGCCTTGGCGCTCCGGTCATTCTGCCTCCTGCTGTCCCCTTCGTTCTCCCCTCTGGATCACTTAGTTTGAAGTGAGGCATCTGTGGGTGTCAGTGATCTCTGTGAGGTCCACTAGATGGTGCCTCTCTGAGGGCCCAGATCACGGGGCCCACTGCAATGCCAGTGTCCAGAATGAGGCCTCGCACATAGGACCCAGTGAGGAAGGGTTTGTTGAATAAATGGAAGGAAGGAAGGAAACAGTCCTGTTGGTTGGAGGGTCAGAGCTGCTATGGCAGCTTAGGCCAGGAGGGCTGGAGCGGGAGGGAGTGGCCGGGGCCAGGCTGTGCTCAGCACTGCTCACTGCCCAGCTGGCCTCAGCAGCCTGCTCTGCTCTGATGTCCTCGCTTCTCCGCGTTTTGACCACCTGCACAGTGGTCACTGCCTGCACCTCTAACTGCCAGTTACCTTGTCCCTTTCCCGTAGGCCCCAGCTGCCTCTGTGTGTCCTGATTCTACCCTGGAGCCACTGCTGGTCCCATTTGGCCAGCGCATGGACTAGCTAGCCTGGGGTCAGGTGTCTGTGTGGGCTCAACATCCATGTGCAGCCACATCCGCCTGGCATGTGCTCCGGGAGGAGCTGGGGGAGCTGCACTGGTCTGCACAGAGCACGCCCTGGGGGAGTAAGCCGGCGGTGGGCATCTGTGGCTCGCTCTCTGGGTGCTCCACAGGTCACATGCAGGCTGTCCTGGTGTGCCCAGAGCGAGATAGGTGACTTCTACATGTGGGCACATGTAGACACTCAGAAGGTGAAGTCATGGAAATGGATCTTGCCCTGAGATGCATTTCTCCATGGACCTCACACCTATTCTCAGGCGAGGGCTCTTGTCTGTTCCTAAAAGGACAGACTTCCTCCCCCAGCATTTCAGTCATCAGCATCTCTCATTTATTTCTGGACACGTCTCTGGAAGGATCCATTGGTGATTTTGAACGCCATGAAGATCCTGCCCATTCAGACCTGACTTCGAGTCCCTTTCAAGTGGACACATCTGCTTTCTCTTTCAGAGCCCAACGACGAGAGCGGGGCTAACGTGGACGCTTCCAAGATGTGGCGGGACGACCGAGAGCAGTTCTACAAGATCGCCAAGCAGATTGTGCAGAAGTCGCTGGGGCTGTAAGCGTGCCCGCGTGTGCGCACACACCACCAAGCAGTTTTCAGTGTTGCTCCTCCAGGACACTTAGTGACGGTGACACTTGGTGCTGGTACCAAAAAAGGAAGCTTGCCAAGCTGCAGCTCTGGTCTTCTTTTCCACCTCTCCCACCCCAAACAGGCTTAGCCTGACATTGCATTGATTTAGGATACTGACGGTGGGGTGCAGTGTTAGTGTCCCGGCAAGGTGGTTCAGGTAGGGTGGCAAAGCTGTCACCACTACCTCTGCCAGCTGGAGCGCCTGCGCACCCCACAGTTAGTAGCTTCCCTTCCCTCCTAGTGCTGAGGGCGGATGTGCTGGCCTCCCCAGGCCTGGAGCTCAGGCAAAGGGCGGGCAGCGGCTTGCCCTCTGGCTCCCTGTGCCCATGGGCAGTGCGGATGTTTCATTCTATTCTACACGCGGGTGTTTTTATTATAATCTAGTTGCATCTTGTGTGTGTGTGTGTGTGTGTTACAAACTGTCACACTTAGAAATACTTTCAGGAAATACTTTTTAAAAATGTGGATGAATGAACAGTGGGGCACATGGAAAATGTCACTGCTACCAGCCTGATGATCTTTCCCAACCACGTCTGTCAAACATTACAGTCCTGTCTTAGTTACTAATGCAGGAAAATTTGAGACTGAAAGTCTCAGTCACAGTTTCTCCTGGATCTGCAGCAGTGTGTCTTTCGTCTCAACCCGGGGACTTCTAGGCTTTTGTCCTTTGTGGTTGCAGCAGGGACTCTGACTGTTGGGACAGTTGTTCTTCGCAGCCAGAGTCGGAAGGGGAGGCGTGCCTCTCTCCGAACTTGACTGTGCTGTGGAAGCGAGGCCCGCGGGTCCCGGGCCCAGTGGGCACACACCACTGTTTCCGGACGGTGACTTCGATGCAGCCGTCTTCTCCAGCATGGGCGGCCCGGCGGCCGGTCCGGGTGCATCGCGAGCAATATCAGATCTGTTGCGGCAGAATCACACGCCCAGCCTGTTTCCCGCAGGTTAAATTAAATAGGAATTTCTATTTTTGAAATAAGGGACGGCCTCCAAGACATAGACTAGAGTTTACTTCGTCCTTTCCTTCCTGTCAGATGCGCCTGCGCCTCACGTTCCTTCTCCGGTTAACGAGAACTGGCTGAAGGGCTCCGTCCGGGTCTGTGGGGACCCGTTTTCTCCTCAGCAGGGCATCTTCCAAGCTTTGGAACTCAGCGCAAGGACTTGTCGGGGCGGGGGGGAGCTACTGCACCTGCGAAGTATTTGTAGGCCCCTTGGCAGGAGGCGGAGCCCTTTCCAGGAGCAGAGCGTGGGGGTGCGGTCTGTGGACTTGCTGGAGCAAGGGGGTTGCAGCCACATCAGCGGCTGGCCACGGGGGCGTCCGTGAAATCTGGAGAAAGGAGAGGCGGTCTCTGCACAACAAAGTATTTTATTAACTTGTATTTATTAAATGGAAAAGAGAGAATCCCCTGGTTAAAAATAAAGTTCTATATTTTCCCCATTGTGCACTGTGTCTGTTATATTTCATATCATCGTGTGGAATACACCAGGGGCCCGGCAGTGCCGCCGCCCTCCCGCTGGCAGTGCCCGGGCCCAGGACTCCGCGTCTGTGCCATTCAGAGGCCACTGTATTCTGAAGACTTGTGGGAACACTGGGGAGGTTCCCTCTCGGTTCTTTCCTCCACTCTCTCTCTCTCCTTCTGGAATCGGGCTCCCTAGCTGGGTTCTGTGACAGCATTCAGGACCGAGTCGGGCAGAGGAAATGTCTGTTCACCAGCCGCTAACGACACGGGCAGCAGCCGCCGAGACCACGCCTGGCTTCTCATCGGACTTGAGGGGCGGTCACGGTGGACCTGCCTCCGAAGCCCCTAGTGTTAGCGAAGAGGCCCGGGCGCCGGTCCTGCTGACCTGCGGTCCTGTTCGGTGACTGTCACAGTGGGCGTGTCGTCCCCAGGCTTCCCTAGAAACGGGTGGCCCTCCTTTCCGCACCCAGCTCTGCCACCTGAGGTGCCCCAGGCTCAGGTCTTGGATCCCCTCCCCCGGCAGTGCTCACGCTTTCTGTTGGGGTGCTCAAGACCACCCCAGGTTTGGTGATTAGCTGGGCTAACCGCTGTGGCACAGACTGGGAAGGGTGCAGGATAGTCAGCTCAGGAAAACCCCTGGGGAAGCTTTGGGGACACCGGGTGCAGCAGGCAGAGCCGGTCCCAGGGATCGTGTAGGACGTGCTGCACTGCTCAGCAGGAGTGACAGTCTGTGTGAGGTGTCTGCCCGGGAGCTTGTCAGACCAGAGCCCAGGGTATTTACTGGGTCTGGTCACGTGGCCCCTCCGCCTGGCACACCTCAAAATTCGAGACTCCCAGGGGACAGTAGATGCCGTCAGAGCCATCGTGTCTGCACAGACGGTTTAGGCCCAGGGAGGTACTCTGGTCACACTTGCTGGGAACCCCCCTGAAGCCCACATTCCCAGGTGTTGGGGCCAAGGGCCAGCCTGGGGCCTGTGGAGAGGCCGCGCCTTCCTGCCCCTTGGGCACGGCGCAGGAGGTCTGATTGCAGGGGAGGCACTCATGGACCCTACACCACACCTCCCTTTCCATGCAGGACATGGTTCCTGGGCCGAGCCGTGTGGCTGGGGCCCAGTGTTACAGTCCCCAAGCCATCAGCTCGCTCCCGTCTCCCCACCCCACCTGGGCTGGGCTTTGTGTAGGAAAAACAACTTCGTGCCCTCGGGCCAGTCCCACCACCAAACCAGAACCCCAGCCCAGCAGCACCTTCAAGATCCCCTGCCACCCTGGCCTCCTGGGTCATTAGGCCCTGTGTCCTGGTGTGAACCAGCCGGTGCCCACTGCCCCCACTCGACAAGCCCAGCTCTGGCAAGGGCTGGCTCCAGCCCGTCACAGGCTGCTCCACCCTCCACATCACCAGGCATGTCACCCTCCCTCAAGGCCACCTGCCGCGGCCACTCAATCTGTCGCCCCAAGCCCGGGAACCTCGGTTCTAGGAGTGGCTTGGGCACTTGCCGAGGCTTTCTCTACACCTGGCACCTGCCTTACAGGGTGTGCCACCGTGTTCAGTGGGTTACCGGAGTTCTGGGTTCCTCGGGTGCACAGACACCGGTGCGTGCTCACGGGTGGCCAGCCCAGGAAGGCTGGGCGTGGCTACAGATCCACCCGCTGCAGTGGGGCTAGAGGCCATGCCGTGTGCGGGGTGCCTGGCCCTGGCTGGCCAGTGCTGCTCACTTGTGGATGGCTCGGCTGTGTGGTCAAGGGTCCATGCTCTGGAGCCAGATCCCACCGTGGCCTCACGGGCAAGAACCAAGGCTCTGGTCTCCTGGAGAGACGTGGGCTTCCGCCTCCAGGTGCTTGTCTCTGAGCCAACTCATCTGCAGGCCAGGGTGCGCTTTGCCCACCACCTCTGGGACAAAGCCCCTGCACCCTCCATGAGAAGTAGGTCTCTGTATGGCTGCCCGGAGCCCCTCCTGTGCAGCGGGGCCAGGTCCATCTCCACCCCAGGAACCTGTTTGGCTGCTCATGGCCCTTCCAGCTTCTGCCACTGGCCCTTGGTGACACTCTCCCCGTCTGCCAGGCATCAGCACTGTGAAGCTTGCCAGCCCCACCTACTCCTGGCAAAGCCTGGTGCAGGAGCGGTGTGGGCCTTGAGGCCAGAGCACGCGTCTCAAGAATCCCGCTGAGTGCAGTGGCCAGCGCTCCATGCCTGCCGCTCGGGCCCCAGCGGCGCGCGGCCAGCCGAGTGTGACCGTGCACTGACCTCACCTGCCTGCCTCAGTCCTCCTGACCCTGTTTGCTCCAGGGTGAGTGTGACAGGAGCATTTCAAGTTGTGTGTGCGTGCGTGTGAGCGTGCACATGTGAGTGCTGGTTTACCTGTCTGGCAGAGGACTTGGTGTGTGTGTGTGCACGCATGTGTGCATGTACACGTGTGTGCACGCATGTGTGCATGTACACGTGTGTGCGGGTTTACCTGTCTGGCAGAGGACCTGATTGTGTGTGCGCACATGTGTGCATGTACACGTGTGTGCGGGTTTACCTGTCTGGCAGAGGACCTGACTGTGTGTGTGTGTGTGTGTGCGCTCGCGCATGTGTGCATGTACACGTGTGTGTGGGTTTACCTGTCTGGCAGAGGACCTGACGTTGGCCCAGATTCAGGTGGAAACCAGGGACTGAGGGATCGTCTTGCTAATGGCCCTTTGAAATCCTGGATAATACACTAAACGAGTTGGAACCACATGAAACGGCTGCAGCTTCAGGGTAGAGCAGGCTGGGGGTTCTCTCGGTTTCTCCCTCTTGGACCAGTTCCCGCTCACAGGAGCAGCTACGCGAGGACGAGGCAGCAGCAAGGTCCCACCCACCAGACCTCGGGGCGCCACCTCACCCAGCATGGCCCTGTCTTCCTGAAGACCTGTGCACTCACACGTGTGCACGTGCACTCACACACGTGTGCATAGAACTCATACGTACATGCAAACATGCACACACACCCCACTCCTCAGGGCAAGAAGCCCCTGTGGCTTGGGGCTGGTCTGGGGCTGGGCACTGGATTGCCGCCTCCGCCTCTGTTTCCCAGCAGCAGAGCCCCAGGAGACTGCCAGCACCCGAGGCCGGGCGCTGTGGGGTGCAGTGGGGCGCAGTGGGGCGCAGTGGGGCTTAGCTTTCACAGCTCATCCTGCGACTCCCTGGGCACCGCCTGGGACCGTGCTGAGCTAGCGGGTCCTGGCAGGGACAGGCCAACAACCAACAGCACTTGGAGGGCTTGCAGGCTGAGGTGTGGGCAAATCTGGGGGCACCAAGCTTACGTGGGTCTGGGTCAGGGACAAGGGTGGAAGGCTGTGCCAGACCTGAGCTGGAGCTGAGGAGAGGGCCCCTGACGGGTGACGGCCGTAGGGGTGGGTCCAGCCCCGACCAGCTGAGTCCAGTGACGGGGGCGGGTGGGGTGGATTCCATGTCCTTCTCCTGTCCCGTGAGGAATGCTGGACCCCAGGGGTCAGGGCCCTGAGCACACAGCACGCGGGGTCCGCAGTGAGGCTTCTGGGCAGCCTCCCGGGGCCTGTGACGGGCAGTCAGGGGAGAGAACAGGCCTCAGTACATGCCCCAGGGCCCATGGGCCTCTCAACAACCTCGGGAAAGCGCGGATCTCTCTGTAGACTCTCTGCCCCCCCCATCTGTCTGGGCTGCTTTTCGGGGTGTCCTGTCCCCTTAGCCCTGACTGCTGTGGAGTAGTTGGGCTGGATGAATGGTTCCGTGGGCCTGGTTCTGTTGCTGCATGTGGATGGTGGAGACTGGGCTGGCACAGGGCCTGCAGGTGCCCGCAGGTGACACTCACTGGCACCCAGAGCAGCGCAGCCGGTGGCCACAGTGAATCCTCCCCTCCTGCAGCTGTGAGTGGCAAGAACTAGACCACTGAGCCCAGTGGGGGTGGGGGTGGTCACCACACACTCCTGCCCTCAGCAGGTCCCTGTGGTGGGTGTGGGGTGCGACTAATGGCTCTGCCTCTTTTTAAAAAAAATCCTCCCCCTCCCCCCATTGTTTTTAGAGAGAAGAAGGGAGAAACAGTGTGAGAAAGGAACATCGATCAGTTGCCTCCTGTATGCACCCAACTGGGGATCGGACCCGCAGCCTTTTGGGTGGGATGACACTTCAACCAACCAACCAACTGCCTCTTTTATTTATTTTTTTGTTTTGTTTTTAGCCTCACCCAAGGACATTTTTGCATTTATCTTCAGATAGAGCAGGAGGGAGAGAGGGAGGAAGAGAGAGAGAGAAACATGGACATGAGAGAGACACATCTAGTGGTCGCCACCCACATGACCCCAACCGGGGCCGGGGACAAACTGCAGCCGAGGTACGTGCCCTTAGTGGGAACCGAACCCGGGTCTCTCTGGTCTGTGGGCCGACGCTCCAACCACTGAGCCAAACTGGCCAGGGCGCTCCTGGCTGTTTTGAAGGGTGAGCCTCCCTGCCCGCTCTGCCCTCCCGAGGGCACCGAGAGCCTGGGCCTCTGCTCGGCCTAGGGGATCTTCCCAGGGCTTTCTTGGGGTGCTGCTGAGACATGGCGCCCTGTGTGCACCTGCTCTGCCCCCTGCGTGCGTGGCTCCCTTTCTCTGTCCACCTGTCAGAGCGAGTGACGTTCCCGGACTTTCCAAGCCCGTCTCGTGGTTCTCAGGCGCCCGGTTTGGTTGCGCTGTGCTCGCTCCAGCTGTGTGTTCAGTTTGACGTGCTGGTGCC